CCAGGTCGTTAACACTAACCATTCACCAGGTCAAAAACACTAACCATTCACCAGGTCAAAAACACTAACCATTCAACAGGTCGTTAACACTAACCATTCACCAGGTCAAAAACACTAACCATTCAACAGGTCAAAAACACTACCCATTCACCAGGTCGTTAACACTAACCATTCACCAGGTCAAAAACACTAACCATTCACCAGGTCAAAAACACTAACCATTCAACAGGTCGTTAACACTAACCATTCATCAGGTCGTTAACACTAACCATTCACCAGGTCGTTAACACTAACCATTCACCAGGTCGTTAACACTAACCATTCAACAGGTCGTTAACACTAACCATTCACCAGGTCATTAACACTAACCATTCACCAGGTCAAAAACACTAACCATTCACCAGGTCAAAAACACTAACCATTCATCAGGTCAAAAACACTAACCATTCAACAGGTCAAAAACACTAACCATTCACCAGGTCATTAACACTAACCATTCACCAGGTCAAAAACACTAACCATTCACCAGGTCAAAAACACTAACCATTCATCAGGTCAAAAACACTAACCATTCAACAGGTCAAAAACACTAACCATTCACCAGGTCAAAAACACTAATCATTCACCAGGTCGTTAACACTAACCATTCACCAGGTCAAAAACACTAACCATTCAACAGGTCGTTAACACTAACCATTCAGCAGGTCGTTAACACTAACCATTCAACAGGTCGTTAACACTAACCATTCAGCAGGTCAAAAACACTAACCATTCACCAGGTCAAAAACACTAACCATTCACCAGGTCGTTAACACTAACCATTCACCAGGTCAAAAACACTAACCATTCAACAGGTCGTTAACACTAACCATTCAGCAGGTCGTTAACACTAACCATTCAACAGGTCGTTAACACTAACCATTCAGCAGGTCAAAAACACTAACCATTCACCAGGTCAAAAACACTAACCATTCAACAGGTCGTTAACACTAACCATTCACCAGGTCAAAAACACTAACCATTCAACAGGTCAAAAACACTAACCATTCACCAGGTCAAAAACACTAACCATTCAACAGGTCGTTAACACTAACCATTCACCAGGTCGTTAACACTAACCATTCAACAGGTCGTTAACACTAACCATTCACCAGGTCAAAAACACTAACCATTCACCAGGTCAAAAACACTAACCATTCAACAGGTCGTTAACACTAACCATTCACCAGGTCGTTAACACTAAACATTCAACAGGTCAAAAACACTAACCATTCACCAGGTCAAAAACACTAACCATTCACCAGGTCAAAAACACTAACCATTCAACAGGTCGTTAACACTAACCATTGACCAGGTCGTTAACACTAACCATTCACCAGGTCAAAAACACTAACCATTCAACAGGTCGTTAACACTAACCATTGACCAGGTCGTTAACACTAACCATTCACCAGGTCGTTAACACTAACCATTCACCAGGTCGTTAACACTAACCATTCAACAGGTCGTTAACACTAACCATTCACCAGGTCAAAAACACTAACCATTCATCAGGTCAAAAACACTAACCATTCAACAGGTCGTTAACACTAACCATTCACCAGGTCGTTAACACTAACCATTCACCAGGTCAAAAACACTAACCATTCACCAGGTCAAAAACACTAACCATTCAACAGGTCGTTAACACTAACCATTCACCAGGTCAAAAACACTAACCATTCAACAGGTCGTTAACACTAACCATTCACCAGGTCGTTAACACTAACCATTCACCAGGTCAAAAACACTAACCATTCACCAGGTCAAAAACACTAACCATTCAACAGGTCGTTAACACTAACCATTCATCAGGTCGTTAACACTAACCATTCACCAGGTCGTTAACACTAACCATTCACCAGGTCGTTAACACTAACCATTCAACAGGTAGATAACACTAACCATTCACCAGGTCATTAACACTAACCATTCACCAGGTCAAAAACACTAACCATTCACCAGGTCAAAAACACTAACCATTCATCAGGTCAAAAACACTAACCATTCAACAGGTCAAAAACACTAACCATTCAACAGGTCGTTAACACTAACCATTCACCAGGTCAAAAACACTAATCATTCACCAGGTCGTTAACACTAACCATTCACCAGGTCAAAAACACTAACCATTCAACAGGTCGTTAACACTAACCATTCAGCAGGTCGTTAACACTAACCATTCACCAGGTCAAAAACACTAATCATTCACCAGGTCGTTAACACTAACCATTCACCAGGTCAAAAACACTAACCATTCAACAGGTCGTTAACACTAACCATTCAACAGGTCGTTAACACTAACCATTCAGCAGGTCAAAAACACTAACCATTCACCAGGTCGTTAACACTAACCATTCACCAGGTCAAAAACACTAACCATTCACCAGATCGTTAACACTAACCATTCAACAGGTCGTTAACACTAACCATTCACCAGGTCGTTAACACTAACCATTCAACAGGTCGTTAACACTAACCATTCAACAGGTCGTTAACACTAACCATTCACCAGGTCGTTAACACTAACCATTCAACAGGTCGTTAACACTAACCATTCAACAGGTCGTTAACACTAACCATTCACCAGGTCAAAAACACTAACCATTCAACAGGTCGTTAACACTAACCATTCAACAGGTCGTTAACACTAACCATTCACCAGGTCAAAAACACTAACCATTCACCAGGTCAAAAACACTAACCATTCAACAGGTCGTTAACACTAACCATTCACCAGGTCAAAAACACTAACCATTCACCAGGTCGTTAACACTAACCATTCAACAGGTCGTTAACACTAACCATTCACCAGGTCGTTAACACTAACCATTCAACAGGTCGTTAACACTAACCATTCAACAGGTCGTTAACACTAACCATTCAACAGGTCGTTAACACTAACCATTCAACAGGTCGTTAACACTAACCATTCAACAGGTCGTTAACACTAACCATTCCAACTGATAACTAGGATGAGACGACAGCAGATAGTAGTAGAATAAGCTGACGCCTTAGAATGAAACCAAATGCAAACAAAATCAGACAAAGCACAAAGGTCTGTTCTAGAGCAGAGTGGAAAATAGACAAAAGAAAAACTATAAATAAATTGAATATTAATAATAATTTAATTGATTAAATTGGTGTCATAAATAAGCACATTACTGAATTCTATAAAACATTCTAGATACAACACTTTGTTCTGAAACTGTTTTAGTCAAGTCATTTTCTCTGTGACAATTGTTTACTGTTTATTTATTCTGTACCTCTAATGTTGTGTTGTGTGTGTACTTGTCTGTGCAAAGGTATTCCAATGTGGTTTTACTGCAAACGGCAAATCATCTGACTCTGAATCTGTATCAAAGACATAAATGCTTCTGTAGACACTTTAAAGACTTATCTGACGACTATGAAGCGAGGAACAATATCCCTTTTACCAAAACCAAATACAGATACTTTATTTCTAGATAAGGCCGATTACACTTCTCGGTTGTGATTATAAAACGACTGCTCAGGTTTATGCAAACAGACTTAAAGCTGGTGTTGGTCAAATTATAATCAGCGTTCATAAAAGCACATCCACATCACACTGGAATGTCCCTGATGAAAGCCTCGTCGTACTTCAGGATTTCTTTAGATTCTTTAGATACTTTAGATTCTTTAAATTCTTTAGATTCTTAAGATTCTTTAGATTCTTTAATTCTTTAAATTCTTTAAATTCTTTAGATTCTTTAGATTCTTTAAATTCTTTAGATTCTTTAGATTATTTAATTCTTTAGATTCTTTAATTCTTTAAATTCTTTAATTCTTTAAATTCTTTAAATTCTTTAAATTCTTTAGATTCTTTAGATTCTTTAAATTCTTTAGATTCTTTAAATTCTTTAGATTCTTTAATTCTTTAGATTCTTTAGATTCTTTAGATTCTTTAATTCTTTAGATTCTTTAATTCTTTAGATTCTTTAGATTCTTTAAATTCTTTAGATTCTTTAGATACTTTAAATTTTTTAGATTCTTTAGATACTTTAAATTCTTTAGATTCTTTAAATTCTTTAGATACTTTAGATTCTTTAATTCTTTAAATTCTTTAGATTCTTTAAATTCTTTAGATTCTTTAAATTCTTTAGATACTTTAAATTCTTTAGATTCTTTAGATACTTTAAATTCTTTAGATACTTTAGTTTCTTTAGATTCTTTAAATCTTTAAATTCTTTAGATTCTTTAAATTCTTTAGATTCTTTAAATTCTTTAAATTCTTTAGGTTCTTTAATTCTTTAAATTCTTTAAATTCTTTAGATTCTTTAGATTCTTTAAAGCACCCATTTCTGTTCCAAACTCTAGGAGCATTTGGTTTTGGGCCTAACTAAGTGTCATATTGTGTTAAAAATTGGCTTTTCTGACCATCTCTTTGTGAAACGCGGCGTTCGTCAGGGCTGTCCAATTAGTCCAATTGTATTTATTATGGCAGCTCAACTTATGGCAATTCTAATTCAAAATTCCCCAGAAATTGAAGGTATCAACATTTTAGAGATAATTTATAACCAGTCAATCTGCTGATGACACAGATGTTCTTCTTAAAAACAAAACCATGGTCCAACCTGCAAATGAGACAATATGCCTCTTTCTAAAGCATCTGCTCAACACTGAACATAAAGAAATGTGAAATTCTGCTTTTTCAAACTTTAAATAGTGTTGAAAATATCCCAGTTAAACAGGAAGTGAAATATGTTGGATTGATAATGTCTAAAAACCTTTCTAAAACAACCAGGCCATTACTCTGAAGTCTGAAGGATCAAGACTCATATCTCCACGTGACTCCATGTTTACATCCCCAAAGGTTAGAACAGCTTCTAACTTTATTCATAAATCTCAACTAGTAAAATAACTTGAAAATGGAGGATTAAAAGCTTTAAATGCTTCTTTTAGAGTTCAGTGGTTAAGTCTGAGTCTCATTGATCTGGATCATGTTAAAGAGGGCTCTCCTGCTGGGACTGTGCTCCTCAGAGTCCCAGCAGGAGTCCAGTCCCTGTGCTCCTCAGAGTCCCAGCAGGAGACCAGTCCCTGTGCTCCTCAGAGTCCCAGCAGGAGTCCAGTCCCTGTGCTCCTCAGAGTCCCCACAGGAGGCCAGTCCCTGTGCTCCTCAGAGTCCCAGCAGGAGTCCAGTCCCTGTGCTCCTCAGAGTCCCAGCAGGAGGCCAGTCCCTGTGCTCCTCAGAGTCCCAGCAGGAGGCCAGTCCCTGTGCTCCTCAGAGTCCCAGCAGGAGTCCAGTCCCTGTGCTCCTCAGAGTCCCAGCAGGAGTCCAGTCCCTGTGCTCCTCAGAGTCCCAGCAGGAGTCCAGTCCCTGTGCTCCTCAGAGTCCCAGCAGGAGTCCAGTCCCTGTGCTCCTCAGAGTCCCAGCAGGAGGCCAGTCCCTGTGCTCCTCAGAGTCCCAGCAGGAGGCCAGTCCCTGTGCTCCTCAGAGTCCCAGCAGGAGGCTAGTCCCTGTGCTCCTCAGAGTCCCAGCAGGAGTCCAGTCCCTGTGCTCCTCAGAGTCCCAGCAGGAGGCTAGTCCCTGTGCTCCTCAGAGTCCCAGCAGGAGTCCAGTCCCTGTGCTCCTCAGAGTCCCAGCAGTAGTCCAGTCCCTGTGCTTCTCAGAGTCCCAGCAGGAGGCCAGTCCCTGTGCTCCTCGGAGTCCAGTCCCTGTGCTTCTCAGAGTCCCAGCAGGAGGCCAGTCCCTGTGCTCCCCAGAGTCCCAGCAGGAGTCCAGTCCCTGTGCTTCTCAGAGTCCCAGCAGGAGTCCAGTCCCTGTGCTCCTCAGAGTCCCAGCAGGAGTCCAGTCCCTGTGCTCCTCAGAGTCCCAGCAGGAGGCCAGTCCCTGTGCTCCTCAGAGTCCCAGCAGGAGGCCAGTCCCTGTGCTCCTCAGAGTCCCAGCAGGAGGCCAGTCCCTGTGCTCCTCAGAGTCCCAGCAGGAGGCCAATCCCTGTGCTCCTCAGAGTCCCAGCAGGAGGCCAGTCCCTGTGCTCCTCAGAGTCCCAGCAGGAGGCCAGTCCCTGTGCTCCTCAGAGTCCCAGCAGGAGTCCAGTCCCTGTGCTTCTCAGAGTCCCAGCAGGAGGCCAGTCCCTGTGCTCCTCAGAGTCCCAGCAGGAGGCTAGTCCCTGTGCTCCTCAGAGTCCCAGCAGGAGTCCAGTCCCTGTGCTCCCACGAAGAGTCAGCCGGCTACAGTGACCCTCCCCAAACCCGACAGAAGACAGTATCACACACACGAGACCCGCCAGATCACCACACCCGACCCCCTCCCACCCAACCAAAGACCACGCCGCAGCCCACGACCAGAACCTCATGTACACCACACCAGCCCTCGAACAGCGGGCGCAGCCGGCGCCGACCGACGCAGCGCTCAGGACCGTCTCCAGGGGCCGTCCAAGCGCAGGAGCCTCAACTACACTCCCTCCGCCCGAAGTCTCGCCACACCCCTCCTAATCGTACTGGACCCAAACCGATCCAGGACCCCGGCTCCCTGCACAGTCGCGCCACACAGCTGCGAGCCTCGGGCCACGCCCACCAACAGCTTACACGTCCAGCCGCCGGCCCGCCAACACCGAACCATCACCTCCGACAACCACAGCCGCCACAACTGAGCCCACCCCCAAATACGAAACGCGAACCAGACCCCGCGCACGCACACCTGCACCAACAACCACAACCAATCCAACGAGACCCAGCCAGACCAGACACTCCAAGCGACACCGCCCCGAACACAACGCGCCGCTCCACACGCAACCCACGAACCCCAAAAACCGAAACAGTCTACGCCAGCAAGCCTAACCGCGCCGACGCACGAGACATGACAGCAAGAGCCCTCTAGAACCAGAGATGAAAAGAACTGAACACCACTTGGAGGGGCGGGGGGGGGGTGGGGGGGCGGCAACCAGCAACCGCACGACGACAAACACCAAAACCCCACCGTAGGAAACGCAAAAAACCGCAACGCATCCGACCAGCAACGCCCCCCAAACGAGGAAGAAGCTCACACAACGAAGGAAAGACGCTCGAGCCCGCAAAAAGAAGGGGCAAACGGGGGGGGGGCGGGAGGGGGGGGACGACAAAAGAAACAAACAAACCAGCAAAAACACGGTAAAGATAAAACATACAAGGAGGAAGAGCAGCCGGGAAAGGCAAAAGGGAAACAAACAGTAAGGCCACAGTCACAAACGGTACGGGCTAACCAGCAGAGGAGGGCCAGTCCAGCAACAACCAAAGCACAATCGCACACACAACAACGCCACGCCATACCAAACACACCACAAACAAGGGAGACGACAAGGACCCGATCAGCAAGCGACAAACCCGGAAGGAGCGAGGCACCCCCCAAGGGAACGAGGGGCCAAACGAGAACGAAACGAGTACAAGAGAGAGTCCACGAAAAGAATGCGGGCACAGATACAGAAGCACTCCGGGGAGAACACACCACGTCGCGTGAGAGCGACGCGGCAGCGGGGTGAGGGGGGGCTGAAAACAATTCACGATGGAAAGCGGACCAAGCAGTAAGGGAACGAGAAAGGAAACAAGCAACAAAGACACCAAAAAAAGGGGGGCAGGACGCGGCCACAGGAGAGACGCAACCCTTCCACCATAAAAAAAAGAGAGCGGGGATGGTGCGCGGCAGACAGAGCAGATGCATAGACCAACGGAGAACCACCACAAGGCCCCACAACCTCACACACAACCCCCCCCAACATCATCCCCAAGGGGACCCCACAGGGGGAGAGGGGTAGGAACAAAACAAAAAACCGGAGCACAAGAAACAAAACAAAACAAGAAACACACGAAAACAAACAATAAACAACACACCAGAGAAGAGCGAGGGAGGGGCCCGGGCCACGATGAGAAAATGACGGAACACAAACAAGAAAAACAACCACAAAGAGGAAGAAAACGAGAAACGCGGTCAGGAAGAAGTAAAAACAAAGAAAAGAACACGGAGGAAGCCAGGGAAACAACAATAAAACGAGCCAAACAACGCCCACGAGGAACCCAAAAACATTCAACAACATAACGTCCCCGGACAGCCCCCAACAAAACTTCAAGAGGGACAAAAGGCCACCCCCAATTCTATAGACAAGACACACTCGCCGATAACTCACACCCCCTAACCAACCCAAACACCAAATTGCCACCCAAAGACAGGAATAGCGCACAGCGATCCAAGTGGTGCATAGCAAAGGGTGACGATAACGGACAAAAACCACTAGAACAAAGAGCCAAAGACAAACAAAAAAATAAAGGGAAGGAAAATACAGCGCACGCACTCAACACCCCAGAGGGACAAAATACAGTCGGGCGCCCACACGAAAAACCAACGAGCACAAAGGGAAAAAGGCAACGGGTCGTGGGGGCAAAAAGCGAACGGCGAAGCGCAATAACAAGAAACACACAAACAGGAACACAAAGAGCAAACAGTGATCCAGCAATAAAGAACAAGCAAACAAAAGAAAAAAAGAAGTAAAGCATGAAACGAACAAAAACCAGACCACGGTGCCAGACAGCACCAAAAACCGACAAAAACATTAAATCAAATACAATCAAAGAACCGAAACCGGAAAAAAAAAAAAAACACCCCTTTAGCGGGGGAGGCCGGGCGAGACATGGGGGAGCTCGGAAATAAAAAGAAAGGGAAACCCGACGCAGACGAACGGGGAAACAAGGGGAGACAGAAGAACAAACAACAAAGACACGAAGGGTGGCGCGGAAAAAAAGGGAGTGGAAAATCCACGAAACCACCAAAACACATACCGAGAAAAACGAAGGGCAACGAACGAAAAAACGAAGGAAAAAATCCCAAACAAGACGAACGGGCAACAATAAAACACAGACAGATCTCGACGCCCAAAAGGCGGGGGGGGGAAATCGCTCAACCAAGACAAACAGAACAACCCAAAAGAAAAACCACCCGAACCGCACAGTGGAACCAGCGGACGAGCCACCAACACACAAAGACGAAACGCAGAAGCTACAGAAGACAGCCAGAGAAGCCCCAAGAGCTGAGAGAGCTGGGCAGGGGGGGGGTGGGGGGGGGGTGGAAGAAGATAGGACGAAACAGCCGAACAAACACCAGAACACCCCCCCACACAAGCCCACGCCGACCCCGCGGGGGCGAGGAAGGATAAAAGACCGCAAAATACAAACCAGAGCGTAGAGAAACCCCCAAACAAACGAACGGCAAGCACAACACAACAAGAACAACAAAACGAAAACCAGGAGAAATCACAGCCCACAGCAGGTGAGAAGAAGTCCTCTACCAAACCACGAAAAACACAACGCCCCCGGACAACCCCAGTGGGGAAAAGGGGAAGGTCGGCGCGGGTGCTGGAACGAGAAGCAAAATGGGCACGAGCAAACCACAACAGAAGAGGGCGGCGGCAGAAAACAGAAAACGAAGAGGCGCGCAAAGGCGACTCGAACAGGACAGCAACACAAGAGGTTTAACCTAACCAAGGCCACATACGACCGAACAACCAGAGAGAAGAGACGGGCCGACACAGCACCCGACCAGGCCGCGCACAACGCGTGGCGAACCCGCAACCCGCAGATAGAGCCGCACGGCCCAGCTTAGATCAGACGGGGGAACACCAGCCACCGCGACCCCCACTGCACACCCCCCACACCAACGCGAAGACCAGGGAGGCCACGCACAACGCCAGAACCACAAAAGCGACACGCACCCCAACTGACATACCCCAGACCAACCCAAGCGGGAACGCAAACTTGCTGAACCCAAGCAGAGACATAACCCCCATCTGGGGGGGGGGGGGAGGAGAACCCAAAACACACGAACCAACAGAAGCTTGGATCCACAAGCCTCACAAACCCCGGGCGACAAGTAAAGGGGCGGGGGGGTGTGGTGGGCGGCAAAGCTCACACAGGGGACCAGGGGGCGCGGCACCACTGGAGGCAAAAGACGCGCACGAAGGGGGTCGGGAGACCATAACAACGACTAGCCAGGCCAACCGACGGTGACACAAAGAAAAAGAGAAGCACAAGAGGGAGGGGACGAGGCGCAGAAGACGAAAGAAAAAAAAAAGGCAACAGTAGGAAACGAGGCAGAGTCACCACGAAGGGCAGAAAAGAAGGAACATCACGTGCCCCACACCACACCCACACGACAAAAAAGCGGGAAAAAAGCAAAACGCAGACCGGAAACAAAACACCCAGGGGGAACAACACAGCACAGCAGCGGCCCGCACGGGGCGTAGGCACAGCCGCTCGACAACGACGAAGAGGGGGGGGAGGGGAGGTGCGAAAGAGGGGTATTAAAGCACGGACAAAACAAAGTCACTCCGGACACCCCCTCATTCTAAGCCCGGGGTGCAAGAGCCGACCTCCCTAAGCGCACAAATCACCAGACGCATAACCAACAAGATCGGTGAAGCGCCCAGGGTGGAAAGGTGGGAAAACAAAGCCAACCACAAAAAACAAGGGGCGAGAAAACACCCACGCAGAGATGCGGGGGGTGGTGTGTAAGGTCTTGCCGGGTCACGGTGACCCGGAAAAATCAGGAGACACAAACCAGCACCGACGGCCTTGAAATCCCGAGCGACTACCGCACCAAACTAGGACACGGGACGACGACCCACGCCCTACCCCCACAATCAAGGATGGCGCACACACCCGGCCCAGGTCCCCTTCAAGAGGGACAGTCCGCCCCCCCAAGCAAGCACCGCGAGCCAAGGACGCACCCACCCCAGAACGAAACGAACAACCACTCACACCAGGGCAGCTAAACACCCGCTAGCCAGAAACAAGGAGAGCACGCCTCTCCAAAACCCCGCCCCCGCGCGCCTACCCCACTATGCACCCGGTAAAGCGCCAAGGGCAAAGGGGCGAGCGCGGGGGCGCGGGCAGGGACGCGTACCACGAGAGAACACCACACCAATGACGCGACGCCTCCAGGTAGTCCCGGCGGGGCCGCGGGGGGTTGCGCGGCACCGGTAGTGTGGCGCCCACCGCGCCTCGCTCGGCAGCCACCGGAGCGACCCTGCCTGGGACCGGGGGGTTGCCGCAGCGCACCGTGGTGGGTGGGGGCGGTCGGTGGCAGGAGGTGGGGTCCGGTGCGGTGTTGTCCTGCACGACTCGCCCGGACGCAGCTCTGTGGGAACCGGCTCGTCGGCGCGGCCGCCACGCAGTCTCCTGTGCTAAGGGCAGCGGGGTAGAGCACGCCCACAGCGGGGACTAGCTAATCGGCCACAGCGCAGATTTAGCATGATGGCCGAGCTGATCATGCTGTGGCCGGACCTGCGATCTCTTGACGGCGCTCCTCAACTGGAGCCTGGGTCGGACTCAGACCTGCTTGCGGCAAGGTAACCTAGACGTCACCCAGCGACGACCCACGCGTCGCCCACCCAGCAGCTGCCTCCCCTCTCTGCGCCTCAGCTCCGCCAGCTAGTACCCCCGATCCCACTATACGACTCTCTCCCTGCTACGCATTCAGTCCTCGTCCAACTCGGGGTGGCGGGGTGTTGGTTGGGGTGTCCTTTGTTGGGTTTGGGGTTCATATGTTGTTTCGTCACCTTGCTCAGCCTCGCCCCCAACCCCGCTTCCCATCCTGACGCAGCGCAACGCGAAAGGGCCCCTGTAGGACGCCCGCGTCGACGCGTGTCTCCCTCCACTCCCCCCTAATTCCCCTCTGCCTCCCCCGACTGTTGTGTTGTCGTCTCACCCCGCTAGGCGAGGCCACCCTCCCCATTACCCGCGCCAGACCCTCACCCCCTCCCACCCCCCTAGCCCCGTGCCCCTGCTGGACCTTGCGCCCGCCTCACCATACAGGTGCAGAACCACTTCATGCCGGGACTTTTCGCCGTCCTCAGATCCCACGATAGCGCAGGCTATAAGTGAACCACAAGCGGGGAGCATAGCCCGCGCCCGCGGCGCCAGCTCGGCACCAAGCCCCTGCCTGCCTAACTTCCCCCTCTTCCCTCCTCTCCTCCGCCTGCCCCGCCTCCTCCCCCACCCCCCCACCCCCCCCCCCCCCGCCCCTACGCCCCCTCCCCCCTCCCCCACCGACTCCGGGTTCTCTTCTTCCCCCCCCTTCGCCGCCAGCCCCCCCCCGTCGCGCGCGCAGCTTTGCCCCCCTCGCTTTCTTCTTGCCCTTGTTTTCCCTCCCCCTCTTCCCCCCGCCTCTCTCCCTTCTCCCTTTTCTTCTCTTCTTGCACACCCTGCTTAGACGCAGACATCCTGTCCAATCTCCCCCCTAAATGTCCTGCTCTACTCTCTCTTTTTCCTCCTCCCTCACTAAATGATTTTCTTTTTTCCTTTTCTCCTTCTTCGTCTCTCGCACCCCCCCTCTCCCCCCACTTAGTTTCCTTTCGCCCTATTTTTCCTTCGTTTTGTTTTTTTTTGTTTGACTTTGCACCAATGGGTAACATAAACAAGACGGTTTGGTAAATAGTACAAAGAAAATTTTTTTTTTTTTTTTATTTTTTTTTTTTTTTCTTTTTTATGTTTTTTTTTTTTTCTTCTGTTATTTTTATTTTTTTTTTTTTTTTATTAAAATTTTATAAAGCCAGAGAGGGGGAGGCGGGAGCAACAAGAAGTAAATCTCAAGAATGGGAGAGGGGGGCCACAGGGGTTTGAGGCGGGTTCGGGGGGATTGGAGTGATGTGGTTGTGGGAACGGAGGGAGAGTGGGTATGAGGAACAATTGTCGGTGGGGAGGGCCGGTTGGTGGAGGATGGTGGGCGAGCTGGGGGGTAGGGTTCGAGATGCGGGTGGAGACTCGGTGGTGGGGGCTGTCGGGCGGGGGGGAGAGAAAGGCCGAACGGGGTGGAGTGGGTTGGGGGGTGGAGAGGGGGGTGTGGGGCATGAGAGAGGGGGGTTCGGGTGGAGGCAGAAGCTTGCGCGCGGGTATTAGTTGCGAGCGGGGTGGGGAGGGCTAGGGTTACCCGTAGGATAGTGGGGGGTGTCGGATCGTCGTTGGCTGAGAGGTTGGGGTTGGGAGCAGAGGGGTAGGGTGGAGCGGTTTTGGGAGATTGGCGGGTGTGGGCAAGATTGGAGAGAGTGCGCGGAGGGGAGTCCGGGGTGTTTTGGCGACTAGCCGCGGGGGTATGCGGGGGCGCGATGAATACAGATAATGCTGGTGAGGAGAGTGTAGAGAGCTGAAGGAATACCGGCACGACGGGTGGCGAGAGGCGGGTGGAGAGGCGGATGCTAGGGAGCGGGTGGCTTGGAAGAGAGATCAGTTGGGGGGGGGAGGCTGGAGGTTGAAGTGGAGTGGGCGGGGGAGGGGAGAGAAAGCCAGCAGTGCGGGGGAGAGCCGGGGGAGCATTTCCTTTCGAGGACAGATTTTGGATACCGTCGAGTTCGGATCAGCTAGAGATATTGCTAGTCGTGAGGATGGTGACCAGGAGAGCAGAAGAGAAAGGAGAGAGAGACCAGGGATAGGCATGGGACGGAGATGGGACTGAGGATGTGGCGTTGAGAAGAGGGGGAGCGGGCTGTTGAGCGAGAAGAGGGGCGAAGTGTAGCGGCTGAGGAGAGGTAGGAGAAACGACGACAAATGAGGAGGAGCGCCGGATGGAACGAATTACTCCAGCGAGGTAGAGATCTCTTGGGGGGGTTTTGTTTAGTGGGGATTGAGAGATTATGCTGCTTGTCGTTCGGAGGACCAACGACGGGGAGGGGAAGACCAGGTGGAGAAGAGGATTGGGTGAGAAGATGGGGCGGAGGTAGGGCGGGGGGAGAAGGGGATATACTGGAACAGACGATTGTGTAGACGAGACCCCAATGCCCCAGACAAGTTGACAAATGGATGTGGGGAACAAGCGAGGGGAGGAGACGAGTTGGCCGGCGGACCGATAGAACTGGTCAAGAAGAGGCCCCTTGATTGGGAAAGTAGAAACAGAAGGGGGGGACAACCCGGAAGACGTAGAACAGCCTTTATTGTTACAAGGGAGACCAGCAACCTAATGAAACGGGAAGGGGCGAAGACCATCGAGGCGAGAGAAAGTTACGAGACGAGTTACTTATAGGGTGAGCGTATGGCCGGGTGGCGGTAGATGCTCCAGGCGGAAGAAGAGAAGTGAAGGGAGACCACGAGACTTTGATTTTGTAAGGACGCCGATGTGGAGCAACGCAGAGAAGGAGGAGGGAGAAGAGAGAGGGGAAGAGTTTGGGAGGGTGCACTGGGTGGGAGCGAAGATTCCGGTTAGGAAGCAATCGAGACATGAGAGCATACCGTTGGAGAGAGCAAAGATGAAGAGAAAGGAGAGAGAGTTGATGAAGGGACATTAACTCTACCATGACTTGTATTTATCTTTGAGCATTTTTTTTTCTTAAGAGTATATCTTGGACAATAAGGTGAAACTTTTGGTTGAAAAGCACCTAGGTTGTGTTACGGTGGGACCAAAAAAAACAGAATTCTCCCCCCCCCCCCCCCCCCCCCCCCCCCCCCCCCCCCTCCCCCCCCCCCCCCCCCCCCCCCCCCCCTCTCCTCCCTCCCTCTCCACCTTTTGTGCTCCTCGCCCACCCACACTCCCGAATCGCTCCCCGTACCGTTCCTCCCCCCTCAACTCCCCCCCCCCCCCCTTCCTCCCCCTTCCTCCCCCTCCCCTCCCCCTCCCCTCCCCTTCCTCCCCCTTTTCTCTATTTGCAAACTATTGTATTATTCTATATATGAAAAATATATATTTACGTTCATGTACAAATGATGAAATGCATTTTTACCTCCGGAGCTGGTGTTTTTGGAGCCACTGGGATTCTGTGCCGAACCAGAGAGTCCTGCTTCATGGTTTTCATGGTGCAAAGACCGACAAACCAGAAGCAGGACTTTGGTTCTGAAGCTGAGGCGACTGTGGAGACGTGAACTGGGTTTTGGTGACGCTTGATTTGAGACTCTCACTGAGACAGGACCAGCAGGGACACATGGTCCCTCTGCATGTCTCTGGTCCCTCTCTCTGGTCTCTCTCACTGGTCTCTCTCTGGTCTCTCTCTCTGGTCTCTCTCTCTGGTCTCTCTCTGGTCTCTCTCTGGTCTCTCTCTCTGGTCTCTCTCTGGTCTCTCTCTCTGGTCTCTCTCTGGTCTCTCTCTGGTCTCTCTCTCTGGTCTCTCTCTCTGGTCCCTCTCTCTGGTCCCTCTCTCTGGTCTCTCTCTGGTCTCTCTCTCTGGTCTCTCTCTGGTCCCTCTCTCTGGTCCCCTCTCTCTGGTCCCTCTCTCTGGTCTCTCTCTGGTCTCTCTCTCTCTGGTCTCTCTCTGGTCTCTCTCTCTGGTCTCTCTCTGGTCTCTCTCTGGTCTCTCTCTCTGGTCCCTCTCTCTGGTCTCTCTCTCTGGTCTCTCTCTGGTCTCTCTCTGGTCTCTCTCTGGTCTCTCTCTCTGGTCTCTCTCTCTGGTCTCTCTCTGGTCTCTCTCTGGTCTCTCTCTCTGGTCTCTCTCTGGTCTCTCTCTCTGGTCTCTCTCTGGTCTCTCTCTGGTCTCTCTGGTCTCTCTCTGGTCTCTCTCTGGTCTCTCTCTGGTCTCTCTCTCTGGTCTCTCTCTGGTCTCTCTCTCTGGTCTCTCTCTCTGGTCTCTCTCTGGTCTCTCTCTCTGGTCTCTCTCTGGTCTCTCTCTCTGGTCTCTCTCTCTCTGGTCTCTCTCTGGTCTTCTCTGGTCTCTCTGGTCTCTCTCTGGTCTCTCTCTCTGGTCTCTCTCTGGTCTCTCTCTGGTCTCTCTCTGGTCTCTCTCTGGTCTCTCTCTCTGGTCTCTCTCTGGTCTCTCTCTGGTCTCTCCCTGGTCTCTCTCTCTGGTCTCTCTCTGGTCTCTCTCTCTGGTCTCTCTCTGGTCTCTCTCTGGTCTCTCTCTGGTCTCTCTCTGGTCTCTCTCTCTGGTCTCTCTCTGGTCTCTCTCTGGTCTCTCTCTGGTCTCTCTCTCTGGTCTCTCTCTGGTCTCTCTCTGGTCTCTCTCTGGTCTCTCTCTCTGGTCTCTCTCTCTCTGGTCTCTCTCTGGTCTCTCTCTGGTCTCTCTCTGGTCTCTCTCTGGTCTCTCTCTGGTCTCTCTCTGGTCTCTCTCTGGTCTCTCTCTCTGGTCTCTCTCTGGTCTCTCTCTGGTCTCTCTCTGGTCTCTCTCTCTGGTCTCTCTCTGGTCTCTCTCTGGTCTCTCTCTGGTCTCTCTCTCTGGTCTCTCTCTCTCTGGTCTCTCTCTGGTCTCTCTCTGGTCTCTCTCTGGTCTCTCTCTGGTCTCTCTCTGGTCCCTCTCAGACCAGACAGGGGTCAGACCGGTTTGGGAGCTACACAGAGTCTTGTTTCTCGCGTCTTTGTAAAAACCCGGTTCATGAGAGAAACCCTCGTCTGGAGCTTTCTCGCTTCTGTTCGAGTGAAGAGAGATTTAACCGAGTTCGACTGTGACGAGACGCCGCTGTAGATGTAGTACTCATGCAGTACTCATGTAGTACTCATGCAGTACTCATGCAGTACTCATGAAGTACTCATGCAGTACTCATGCAGTACTCATGTAGTACTCATGTAGTACTCATGCAGTACTCATGCAGTACTCATGCAGTACTAATGCAGTACTCATGAAGTACTCATGCAGTACTCATGCAGTACTCATGTAGTACTCATGCAGTACTCATGCAGTACTCATGTAGTACTCATGTAGTACTCATGCAGTACTCATGCAGTACTCATGCAGTACTCATGCAGTACTCATGCAGTACTAGTACATGCACGAGTACTGCAAAGTACTGTGTAACCAGGTGCAGTGTGACCAGGGTGAAGTACTAGTACCTGTAACTAAAATATCAACACCTGTACTTAAAGTACCAGTACCTGCAGTACCAACTACCAAAAGTACTATTACTTTAGGTACTGGTACTGGTACTGGTACTGGTACTGGTACTGGTGCTGTTACTATAGTACCAGTACCTAAAGTACCAGTACCTAAGCTGCAGATTATTGATTGTACACTGTGGATTCTCTTCTTCACAAACTTCTGTTGAAATCGTTTACATAAAACTCTGGCCTCAAAGTGCCGACGAAGCGGAACCAGACCGGACCATCGCCAGAGCGGACCAGAGCGGACCAGAGCAGACCAGAGGAGACCAGAGCAGACAGAACCATGTGTGTGCTGCCTCTGTGAGCTCTGGGAGATGAGCTTCTTCACTTCTGAACTGGGAACAGGTCTCATGGTATATTTCAGCAGGGGCCAAGTCTGTGGTCTCTCTCTGATCTCTCTCTCTGGTCTCTCTCTGGTCTCTCTGTCTGGTCTCTCTCTGGACTCTCTCTGGTCTCTCTCTGGTCTCTCTCTCTGGCCTCTCTCTGGTCTCTCTCTGGTCTCTCTCTCTGGTCTCTCTCTCTGGTCTCTCTCTGGTCTCTCTCTGGTCTCTCTCTGGTCTCTCTCTCTGGCCTCTCTCTGGTCTCTCTCTCTGGTCTCTCTGGTCTCTCTCTGGTCTCTCTCTGGTCTCTCTCTGGTCTCTAGTCTCTCTCTGGTCTCTCTCTAGTCTCTCTCTTTGGTCTCTCTCTGGTCTCTCTCTCTGGTCTCTCTCTGGTCTCTCTCTGGTCTCTCTCTGGTCTCTCTCTGGTCTCTAGTCTCTCTCTGGTCTCTCTCTAGTCTCTCTCTGGTCTCTCTCTGGTCTCTCTCTAGTCTCTCTCTGGCCTCTCTCTGGTCTCTCTCTGGTCTCTCTCTGGTCTCTCTCTCTGGTCTCTCTCTGGTCTCTCTCTCTAGTCTCTCTCTCTGGCCTCTCTCTGGTCTCTCTCTCTGGTCTCTCTCTGGTCTCTCTCTCTGGTCTCTCTCTGGTCTCTCTCTCTGGTCTCTCTCTGGTCTCTCTCTGGTCTCTCTCTGGCCTCTCTCTGGTCTCTCTCTGGTCTCTCTCTTACGGTCACCATGGTTACCAGGAGTCATCTTTAAGCTCTGCTCCACCATTGTGTGGAGGGTCTGAATGTGTTTGAATGTATTTCACTGTGTATTGTTTACTTTGAGAATGGGAGAGAAAAGGTGAGAAACCCTGGACCCCACAGACGGAAATAACTGGAAGAAAGAGTTTTGGTTTCTTCTATCACTGGTAAAATCTGGTCTTCTCTCCCCGCATTGATTGAGAGAGAGAGAGAGACTAGAGAGAGAGAGAGAGACCATAGAGAGAGAGAGACTAGAGAGAGACCAGAGAGAGACTAGAGAGAGACTAGAGAGAGACTAGAGAGGGATTAGACAGAGAGAGAGAGAAGAGAAAGAGAGACAAGAGAGAGAGAGAGAGAGTAACCAGAAAGAGACCAGAAAGAGACCAGTGAGAGACTAGAGAGAGAGACCAGAACGAAACCAGAGAGAGACTAGAGAGAGAGACTAGAAAGAGAGACCAGAGAGAGACCAGCGAGAGAGACTTTATCCTTAATCAGGATAAAGTCTCTCCTGGTCTCTTTCTGGTCTCTCCTGATCCCTCCTGATCTCTCCTGGTCTCTCCTGGTCTCTTCTGGTCCCTCTTCTGGTGTCTCTCCTGGTTTCTCTCCTTGTCTGGTGCTGACTCCTGAACCATGTGTAACCTTCAAATATGTGAATTTTGTACAAAAGTATTTAAGACAAAACACTGTAGTAGCCCTCTTTTTATACTGCGAATGTTTAACACTGTTGATGGTCAAAAACAGAGACCTCAGACCTGCCACAACCAGGAACCAGGAACCAGGGACCAGGGACCAGGAGCTCATTTTTCCAGAATACTTATGTGAGAGGTTTCTGAGAAAGAGAGACCAGAGAGAGAGAAGCTGGTCCGCTCGCCCCTCCCTGGTGGCTGCAGATCTGAGGTGCTGTGTTTGATGGTCTTGGGTCCGATGGTCTGGGGTTCGATGGTGTTGGGACCAGGTGGGGGGGAGGTGTTGTGGCCAAACTAGTGTTCTCTGCATGACTCTGGTATTTAAACTCCTGTGGATGTAAACACGTTTTTCTGTGGATCAAATATTAACTTTTCATAATCTTTTCTTACAAACTGTGTCTGTGTTTTTATTCATCAGACTCTGAACCACAGCACCACCACCGCCATCTGGTGGTGGGGGGCGACACTACATCTGCTCAGAGAGAGGGAGCAGAGAGAGAGACTATAAAGAGAGAGCAGAGAGAGACTTTAAAGAGAGAGCAGAGAGAGAGAGACTAGAAAGAGAGAGGCCAGAGAGAGACTTTAAAGAGAGAGCAGAGAGAGAGAGACTATAAAGAGAGAGCAGAGAGAGAGAGAGACTATAAAGAGAGAGCAGAGAGAGACTTTAAAGAGAGAGCAGAGAGAGAGAGACTATAAAGAGAGCAGAGAGAGACTTTAAAGAGAGAGCAGAGAGACTTTAAAGAGAGAGCAGAGAGAGACTTTAGAGAGACTAGAAAGAGAGAGACCAGAGAGAGAGACCAGAGAGAGAGACCAAAGAGAGATCAGAGAGAGAGACTAGAAAGAGAGAAACCAGAGAGAGAGACCAAAGAGAGATCAGAGAGAGAGAGAGACTAGAAAGAGAGAGACCAGAGAGAGAGAGACCAGAGATAGAGACCAGAGAGAGAGATCAGAGAGAGAGAGACTATAAAGAGAGAGCAGAGAGAGACTTTAAAGAGAGATCAGAGAGAGAGAGACTAGAAAGAGAGAGACCAAAGAGAGATCAGAGAGAGAGAGACTATAAAGAGAGAGCAGAGAGAGACTTTAAAGAGAGAGCAGAGAGAGAGAGACTAGAAAGAGAGAGACCAGAAAGAGACACCAGAGAGAGACCAAAGAGAGATCAGAGAGAGAGAGACTAGAAAGAGAGAGACCAAAGAGAGATCAGAGAGAAACCCGAGAGAGAGACCAGAGAGAGACTACGTTTGGAGCTGATACTGACACACTAACTATCCATATTTTTCTTCCAATTCATCCATTGCCGGGTGGTAGGGGCAGCCAGAGGAGAGACAGATGTCCCTCTCCAAACACACTTCCTCCAGCTCATCTGGGGGAGGCCTGAGGCGCTCCCAGGCCAGTGCTGGGATGTGATTCTCTGTAAGTCCATAGAAGTCCTTTACATCTTCAGATCGTCAAAAAGATAAATACAGACTCAAGTGTGCAAAAAGCAGACGGTTTGTTTGATTTGTTCACAACATTTTACTTTTAGCACAACTGACATGATGAAACAAGGGGAAATGTAGGTACCCCAGCTTTAATGTAGTGAGTATAAATGTCAGACTCGGGGACACTTCCTGAGGCTCCCATAATCCACCTCTGTGTCTTGCAAAGATGTATTCATCACGTGATAAAAGACCGGGAGCCGCCGTCATTTACCACAAACGGCTGAAGACGTGGTCGACCAAACGTGGAGCAGGTGCCACAGACCAGACTGTGTTGAACTTGGTAATGAGCTGTCTTAATCAACACACCTGGACCACGCCTTAATCATGTCATCATCATCACACCTGGACCACGCCTTAATCATGTCATCATCATCACACCTGGACCACGCCTTAATCATGTCATCATCATCACACCTGGACCACGCCTTAATCATGTCATCATCATCACACCTGGACCACGCCTTAATCAGCCTGTCATCATCATCACACCTGGACCACGCCTTAATCATGTCATCATCATCACACCTGGACCACGCCTTAATCAGCCTGTCATCATCACACCTGGACCACGCCTTAATCAGTCGGTCATCATCATCACACCTGGACCACGCCTTAATCAGCCGGTCATCATCATCACACCTGGACCACGCCTTAATCAGCCTGTCATCATCATCACACCTGGACCACGCCTTAATCAGCCTGTCATCATCATCACACCTGGACCACGCCTTAATCAGCCGGTCATCATCATCACACCTGGACCACGCCTTAATCAGCCGGTCATCATCATCACACCTGGACCACGCCTTAATCATGTCATCATCATCACACCTGGACCACGCCTTAATCATGTCCATCATCATCACACCTGGACCACGCCTTAATCAGCCGGTCATCATCATCACACCTGGACCACGCCTTAATCAGCCTGTCATCATCATCACACCTGGACCACGCCTTAATCATGTCATCATCATCACACCTGGACCACGCCTTAATCATGTCATCATCATCACACCTGGACCACGCCTTAATCATGTCATCATCATCACACCTGGACCACGCCTTAATCAGCCTGTCATCATCATCACACCTGGACCACACCTTAATCATGTCATCATCATCACACCTGGACCACGCCTTAATCAGCCTGTCATCATCATCACACCTGGACCACGCCTTAATCATGTCATCATCATCACACCTGGACCACGCCTTAATCAGCCTGTCATCATCATCACACCTGGACCACGCCTTAATCATGTCATCATCATGTGACGGGGTGAGCCCGTCCCTGAGCACGCTGTCCCACGGAGCGCATGTGAAGATGCGCGCGCCCGGTGCCATGGTGGCTGCGCGCAACGGCCAAGCCCATTCATTGACTACTGCTAGGGACTGTGTTTGTGACATGTGGCGTGCGTGAACGCGTCTTCAGGGTGCACACTTGGAAGCGTTGCATGGTGTTAAATCTGTTACATGTGTCATTCACTCGCCTGTGCTGGCGTGGTCGTGGCGTCTCCATGGTGCGGTTCGGCAAACCCGGACATAAGGAGCCCGTGGATTAAATGCACCTGTCTGTGGGTCATGTGACCACAGCTCATTTGCATGGACATTTGGACTCTTTGCAGTGTGTAGCTCATAATGTATTTTATGGTAAATGTGTCAATGTGGAACTGTATTATGAAATCATGAACATAAGGAAATACTCATGTAGTGTAGATATGATGTTTTATCCGATGATTGATTTGTAATGTGGGAGGGGCCAGCAGGGTACAAAAGGTGTGCTTGTCTGCCCCATGAGAGTCGTGACTCGGTTACAGTGAAGGTAACGTGGACTGCAGGAGCAAGTGTTACAGTATAGGGAAAAGAGACTTAGTGTTGAAGTCGTGCATATTTATTGTAAATATCCTTTTTGCCGATAGTCTTTTCACTGTGCTCTGTAAATACGTTTTTTGTAATTTCCCACTGTTTTTCTACTGAGAGTTTTTAATTAAAAACTTCTGAAAACGCCCTTTCCGACCCAGCCATGTGTTCTGTTTTAAACGAACCTTCACACATCATCACACCTGGACCACGCCTTAATCAGCCTGTCATCATCATCACACCTGGACCACGCCTTAATCAGCCTGTCATCATCATCACACCTGGACCACGCCTTAATCAGCCTGTCATCATCATCACACCTGGACCACGCCTTAATCATGTCATCATCATCACACCTGGACCACGCCTTAATCAGCCTGTCATCATCATCACACCTGGACCACGCCTTAATCATGTCATCATCATCACACCTGGATCACGCCTTAATCAGCCTGTCATCATCATCACACCTGGATCACGCCTTAATCAGCCTGTCATCATCATCACACCTGGACCACGCCTTAATCATGTCATCATCATCACACCTGGACCACGCCTTAATCATGTCATCATCATCACACCTGGACCACGCCTTAATCATGTCATCATTATCACACCTGAACCACGCCTTAATCATGTCATCATCATCACACCTGGACCACGCCTTAATCATGTCATCATCATCACACCTGGACCACGCCTTAATCAGCCTGTCATCATCATCACACCTGGACCACGCCTTAATCAGCCGGTCATCATCATCACACCTGGACCACGCCTTAATCATGTCATCATCATCACACCTGGACCACGCCTTAATCATGTCATCATCATCACACCTGGACCACGCCTTAATCAGCCGGTCATCATCATCACACCTGGACCACGCCTTAATCATGTCATCATCATCACACCTTAATCATGTCATCATCATCACACCTGGACCACGCCTTAATCATGTCATCATCATCACACCTGGACCACGCCTTAATCATGTCATCATCATCACACCTGGACCACGCCTTAATCATGTCATCATCATCACACCTGGACCACGCCTTAATCAGCCGGTCATCATCATCACACCTGGACCACGCCTTAATCATGTCATCATCATCACACCTGGACCACGCCTTAATCAGCCTGTCATCATCATCACACCTGGACCACGCCTTAATCATGTCATCATAATCACACCTGGACCACGCCTTAATCAGCCTGTCATCATCATCACACCTGGACCACGCCTTAATCAGCCGGTCATCATCATCACACCTGGACCACGCCTTAATCAGCCTGTCATCATCATCACACCTGGACCACACCTTAATCAGCCGGTCATCATCATCACACCTGGACCACGCCTTAATCATGTCATCATCAACACACCTGGACCACGCCTTAATCAGCCGGTCATCATCATCACACCTGGACCACGCCTTAATCATGTCATCATCAACACACCTGGACCACGCCTTAATCAGCCTGTCATCATCATCACACCTGGACCACGCCTTAATCAGCCTGTCATCATCATCACACCTGGACCACGCCTTAATCATGTCATCATCATCACACCTGGACCACGCCTTAATCAGCCTGTCATCATCATCACACCTGGACCACGCCTTAATCATGTCATCATCATCACACCTGGACCACGCCTTAATCAGCCGGTCATCATCATCACACCTGGACCACGCCTTAATCAGCCGGTCATCATCATCACACCTGGACCACGCCTTAATCAGCCTGTCATCATCATCATCACACCTGGACCACGCCTTAATCATGTCATCATCATCACACCTGGACCACGCCTTAATCATGTCATCATCATCACACCTGGGCCACGCCTTAATCAGCCTGTCATCATCATCACACCTGGACCACGCCTTAATCAGCCGGTCATCATCATCACACCTGGACCACGCCTTAATCAGCCGGTCATCATCATCACACCTGGACCACGCCTTAATCATGTCATCATCATCACACCTGGACCACGCCTTAATCAGCCGGTCATCATCATCACACCTGGACCACGCCTTAATCATGTCATCATCATCACACCTGGACCACGCCTTAATCAGCCTGTCATCATCATCACACCTGGACCACGCCTTAATCAGCCTGTCATCATCATCACACCTGGACCACGCCTTAATCAGTCTGTCTTCATCATCACACCTGGACCACGCCTTAATCAGCCGGTCATCATCATCACACCTGGACCACGCCTTAATCAGCCTGTCATCATCATCACACCTGGACCACGCCTTAATCATGTCATCATCATCACACCTGGACCACGCCTTAATCAGCCTGTCATCATCATCACACCTGGACCACGCCTTAATCATGTCATCATCATCACACCTGGACCACGCCTTAATCAGCCTGTCATCATCATCACACCTGGACCACGCCTTAATCAGCCTGTCTTCATCATCACACCTGGACCACGCCTTAATCAGCCGGTCATCATCATCACACCTGGACCACGCCTTAATCAGCCTGTCATCATCATCACACCTGGACCACGCCTTAATCATGTCATCATCATCACACCTGGACCACGCCTTAATCAGCCTGTCATCATCATCACACCTGGACCACGCCTTAATCAGCCTGTCATCATCATCACACCTGGACCACGCCTTAATCAGCCTGTCATCATCATCACACCTGGACCACGCCTTAATCAGCCTGTCATCATCATCACACCTGGACCACGCCTTAATCATGTCATCATCATCACACCTGGACCACGCCTTAATCAGCCTGTCATCATCATCACACCTGGACCACACCTTAATCATGTCATCATCATCACACACACCTGGACCACGCCTTAATCAGCCTGTCATCATCATCACACCTGGACCACGCCTTAATCATGTCATCATCATCACACCTGGACCACGCCTTAATCAGCCTGTCATCATCATCACACCTGGACCACGCCTTAATCAGCCTGTCATCATCATCACACCTGGACCACGCCTTAATCAGCCGGTCATCATCATCACACCTGGACCACGCCTTAATCATGTCATCATCATCACACCTGGACCACGCCTTAATCGCGCCTTAATCAGCCGGTCATCATCATCACACCTGGACCACGCCTTAATCATGTCATCATCATCACACCTGGACCACGCCTTAATCATGTCATCATCATCACACCTGGACCACGCCTTAATCAGCCTGTCATCATCATCACACCTGGACCACGCCTTAATCAGCCTGTCATCATCATCACACCTGGACCACGCCTTAATCAGCCTGTCATCATCATCACACCTGGACCACGCCTTAATCATGTCATCATCATCACACCTGGACCACGCCTTAATCAGCCTGTCATCATCATCACACCTGGACCACGCCTTAATCATGTCATCATCATCACACCTGGACCACGCCTTAATCATGTCATCATCATCACACCTGGACCACGCCTTAATCAGCCTGTCATCATCATCACACCTGGACCACGCCTTAATCATGTCATCATCATCACACCTGGACCACGCCTTAATCATGTCATCATCATCACACCTGGACCACGCCTTAATCATGTCATCATCATCACACCTGGGCCACGCCTTAATCAGCCTGTGATAGGTCGTGGGTTCGAGCCCACCATAATACCGACTTCTCGACTCCCACTGATGACTGCTGTTATTGTGTCCTTGGGCAAGACACTTAACCCAACATTACCTGAAGCTCCCACCGAAAGATCTCCGCTCCTCACAGAGGCGGCACGGTGCCTGAGTGGTTAGCACTCTCACCTTTCAGCAAGAAGGTCCTGGGTTCGAATCCCGGTCGGAACAGGGTCTTTCTGAGTGGAGTGCATGTTCTCCCCGTGCCTGCGTAGGTTTCCTCCGGGTGCTCCGGTTTCCCCTACCACTAAAAACCTGCTCACTAGGATAAATCCTCCAACTCTGGTCCTGACCAAGCTGAGCAACAACATCTGGAGATGGGTTCCTGAGCGCTGTTGCTACGGCAACAATGCAGAGGATTGAATTGCCCCACGGGGATTGATAAAGTACCTTCAGCACCTGCAGGAGGATCTGTGAGGGGCTGGTGCTCTGTGTACTTGGTGCAGCTCTGACTGCCACCCCCCAACTCATAAACGGATTAAGGGGAAGAAAATGGATGGATGGAAATACAAATGTACCAGGAGGCAGGGCTGGCCATCGGGCGTACAGGGCATTGCCCTAAGGGCCGATGCCCATATTTGGCCTGTCAGATTTGTTGAAACTGCATACATCCTGATCCTCTACAGGATGTGCTTCCGCTGTAGAAATAACCGTGAAAAAAACATGACAAAAATAACGGCCGGGCCGTCAGAGAAGCCAAAATATAAAAGTGCCAAAATGCACTTTAACATGGAAGTCAATAGGAGCTAAACTTCACCATGAGCACTTCCCTTTGGGGATTCATTGAGCTAGAGTGTTAGCATTGAGCTAAAATGTTAGCATTGAGCTAAGCTGTTAGTAAGTAGTAGTAATAGTAAGTAAGTATGTCCGGGTCCTGACGAGGAGGCGCAAATATGACCACATCTCACCCGTCCTCAAATCACTCCACTGGCTGCCCATCAAGCACAGAATACAGTACAAACTCTGCCTCCTCACATATCAATGCACACACGGAACTGCCCCTGCCTACCTCAGTGAACTGCCCCTGCCTACCTCAGTGAACTGCCCCTGCCTACCTCAGTGAACTGCCCCTGCCTACCTCAGTGAACTGCCCCTGCCTACCTCAGTGAACTGCCCCTGCCTACCTCAGTGAACTGCCCCTGCCTACCTCAGTGAACTGCCCCTGCCTACCTCAGTGAACTCCTAACACCACACACCGCCTCTCGAAGTCTCCGTTCAACCACCTCCTCCCACTGCCTGCACCAACCCAGGACCAAACTCTCCACCATGGGAGATAGGGCCTTTCAGGCAGTAGCCCCCCGGCTCTGGAATGCCCTCCCAGAAACCCTCAGGGCCCCACAAAGTGTGGAGGCTTTTAAGAAAGGCCTAAAGACATTCCTATTCAAACAGGCCTTCTAGATATGTACAGTAATTATGTTTTTATTTTTTCCTGATGTTATATTTGATGTATTGTTTTTATGTTGTGTATCTTGGGGATGTTCCCTGTTTTTGTAGCACTCTGAGGTTTCCCTGAAATGTAAAGTGCATTATAAATAAAATGTATTATTATTATTAGTAGTAATCTTTATATACCGCCTTTTCACTGCAGATCAGAGTCTCAAAGCGGTTTACAATTGTTATTTTGTAAGTCAGTACAGGAGGGGCATGCCAGATCTATTGGGTATGTTTTTTGTCGTAGGGGAAACCGGAGTACCCGGAGGAAACCTACGCAGACACGGGGAGAACATACAAACTCCACTCAGAAAGGCCCTGGTCCGACCGGGATTCAAACCCAGGACCTTCTTGCTGAGAGGCGAGAGTGCTAACCACTCAGCCACCGTGCCTGGTTATCCATCTACAAAACAAATGTAGAAATAGCTTTTTGTTGATTTTCTTTATTTCAAATCTTTTGCAACAAACGTCGCTTCTGTACATTTACACTTTACACAAAATATGGCTTTTCAAAATAAAATCCTCTTTTTGGGAAAATAAGGACGGACGTTTGGCATTCAGACAAGAGAAACCAGAGACCAGAGAGAGACCAGAGAGAGACCAGAGAGAGACCAGAGAGAGACCAGAGAGAGAGACCAGAGAGAGACCAGAACGAGACCAGAGAGAGAGACCAGAGAGAGACCAGAGAGAGACCAGAGAGAGACCAGAGAGAGAACCAGAGAGAGACCAGAGAGAGAGACCAGAGAGAGAGACCAGAGAGAGAGACCAGAGAGAGAGACCAGAGAGAGAGACCAGAACGAGACCAGAGAGAGAGACCAGAGAGAGAGACCAGAGAGAGACCAGAGAGAGACCAGAGAGAGACCAGAGAGAGAGACCAGAGAGAGAGACCAGAGAGAGACCAGAGAGAGACCAGAGAGAGACCAGAGAGAGACCAGAGAGAGAGACCAGAGAGAGACCAGAGAGAGACCAGAGAGAGAGACCAGAGAGAGACCAGAACGAGACCAGAGAGAGAGACCAGAGAGAGACCAGAGAGAGACCAGAGAGAGACCAGAGAGAGAGACCAGAGAGAGACCAGAGAGAGACCAGAGAGAGAGACCAGAGAGAGACCAGAGAGAGACCAGAGAGAGACCAGAGAGAGACCAGAGAGAAACCAGAGAGAGAGACCAGAGTGTTCAGGCCGTCCCTGGTCCGGTGGACAGTGGGGTCAGAGGAGCCGTGTTCATGGTTTTCGATCGCCCTCCTCTCCTGCGCCCGAACTTCAGCTGCAACAAAAACACACATGACCAAATGTTAAAGACACAAAAGACACAAACTACAATGTGTGTTGGTCTCTCTCTGGCTTCTCTCTGTTCTCTCTCTGGTCTCTCTCTGGTCTCGCTCTCTCTCTCTGGTCTCTCTCTCTGGTCCCTCTCTGGTCTCTCTCTCTGGTCTCTCTCTCTGGTCTCTCTCTCTGGCTTCTCTCTGTTCTCTCTCTGGTCTCTCTCTGGTCTCTCTCTCTGGTCTCTCTCTCTGGTCTCTCTCTCTGGTCCCTCTCTGGTCTCGCTCTCTCTCTCTGGTCTCTCTCTCTGGTCTCTCTCTCTGGTCTCTCTCTCTGGTCTCTCTCTCTGGTCTCTCTCTCTCTCTGGTCTCTCTCTCTCTCTGGTCTCTCTCTCTCTCTGGTCTCTCTCTGGTGGGACTTCCTGGTCTCTCTGGTCTCTCTCTGGTCTCTCTCTGGTGGGACTTCCTGGTCTCTCTCTCTGGTCTCTCTCTCTGGTTGCTCTCTCTCTCTGGTCTCTCTCTCTGGTGTCTCTCTCTGGTCTCTCTCTGGTCTCTCTCTCTGGTCTCTCTCTCTGGTCTCTCTCTCTGGTCTCTCTCTCTGGTCTCTCTCTCTGGTCTCTCTCTCTGGTCTCTCTCTCTCTCTGGTCTCTCTCTCTGGTCTCTCTCTCTCTCTCTGGTCTCTCTCTCTCTCTGGTCTCTCTCTCTCTCTCTGGTCTCTCTCTGGTCTCTCTCCAGACTGCAGTAACATAGGCAGAGAGCAGCTCTATCTGTGATGTCATAGTTCAGACAGAAGGGGGGAGTCAGGGGGGAGTCAGGACCTGAATGGGGGAGGAGGTGGGACTTCCTGGTCTCCCCCCACACGGAGCCTCCTCATTGGCTGCTGCCTCTCTCCTCCTGTAGCTCTGGCTTTTGGACTGAGAACTGACCGTCGGCAGCAGCTGGAATCATCAGGGACAATCAGGGTCAGCAGCAGTAGCAGCAGCAGTAGCAGTAGCAGTAGTAGTAGCAGCAGTAGTAGTAGCAGCAGTAGTAGCAGCAGTAGTACCAGTAGCAGTACCAGCAGTACCTTGCTGATGGTGCCCACGGCCTTGGTGC